CTTCACCGCAGTAGTGACTGTTATATCAATAGTTATTTTGGTTTTCCATCGTGGCATTCGTTTTATGTTACCATGAACACGCATTATACCATTCGTTGCCAGATGATTTCTGACGTTTTCTTAATGAGTACGGCCAATTCCTAGCATATTGAGATACGTTTTCTGACAGAGGGGCGTATTGCGATTTCAATAATAAAAAGTTCTCTTATTAGTACGCGTTTTCCTTTTAATATTTAAGACGTCGACTGGCGGTTATTTCTCCATCATTCATTGCTTTCAGTTGGGCCATTAAAAATATATCTTGCTCAGATCTAGAAAGGGCTTGAAACGCTTCACGTAATTCAGCAAACCTTGTTCTCGGAATCGTTTTTGAACAACCGCAATTGCAACCTAACGTATTGCTTTTTCATATTCGGTTGAACCGTTATAATTATCATTCTTCATATATGGGTAATCCTATATATAATTTTTATGACTTTGTCATTATGATAGTATTGGCAGCAACCTGTGTTACTGTAATGTGCCACTTTGATGAAGCATGAATACACTGTGTAGGTAAGGTAAAACTGAATTCAACATATTAGTATAGAATGTGACAGCAAAAAAATTAAGGTAATCAGATGCAGGTTAACATTTAGTGAAGACTAATCACAAGTGGAAGCAATAACAAGCACCAATTGTATGCCAATCTTTTATTTATGACACTCCTGAAACCATTTTATGACATCTGCCACTACATGTGTTCTAGGTTAACAAATCAATGAAAGCAAGCTACATCTCATCTGGACAAATATCTATCTACAAAGCAAGTCAGATGATATGATGATGGGTAGGAAAGAAAAGTTACAAGAGGTATTAAAAAAGTTTCTCAATAGATTGTGTAATAAAGTGAATGTCATGAGCTTTCTTAATTTTTCCACCCTCTTTTACATCCGGATGCCAGTCTAGGAAATCAAATCGGTTTATAAAATGTGGGTATTTTGCCAATCCTTCTTCTCCGGCCCAGTCAAAATCAACTATCATAATCTGATTTCCATCCTTTGAAATCATAATATTTGATGTGCAAAGATCACCATGAACATAATTCATCTTGTGTAATGTGTTGGCAACTTCAATGGCTTTTGAATTGAGAAATGATACATTCTGACCACCTTCCTGAAGAATATCATACATACATGTGAAATGTTCAAGATATTCCATTACTATCATAAACCAGTTGCCTGTCAGTTTTTCAACTGCTCTGAGTTTTGGTGCAATATTGGCATTAGCACAGTCTCTATGAACATCAATACCATATCTCCTGACAAATTTCACAGCAAGCAGCTGTTGATTGGTCAATTCTTGCACAACAAAGAGCAGTCTGTCATCAACCAGTCTTTTTTTGTATTCAAATTGAACCATGTAGCCACTCTCATTTTTAAAAGAATTGGGGTATGGATATGCTTCTTGTCTTGGTAAATCAACATTAATTTCAGTTGGTAAACATAACTTGTTATAATAATCCTTCAGACTTTCCAGGCTTTGTTTCAGCAGTTGAAATATATTTGCAGCCATAGATAGCAATTCATCATCAAATCTTAACTGCATCAAGGGAATCAGAGGTGTGAGTGGTTCTACCACACATTTTTCACCAAAGACAGCTCCAGCAATCCCTAGATAAGGTCCTGCCAAGTAAATTAAGAATGTCGGATGGAGACCATAACAGTCTGGAGGCCTTTTCTGGCCAATAAATCTAGCATATAATGCACAAGCCTGCCTGTAGGGACATCCACCACCTTCTCCAAGTTCATTTTTTATTTTCCCTAATAACAGCAGATGTTTAACATGATTGACATTAAATGGTATATGCAAATCAGCCTCACTATGTCCTCCAAGTGGTAATGCATCAACAGGACAATTAAAATATTTTGAAGCCCATGAAGTGAATTTTGCAAGTCGATCATCTTCAACATTATAAAACTCTTGCATGTCTAATACAAGTTTTCCAAGTGATTCAAAGTCATCTGCCTCAGCTTTCAGACTGGAAAGATTGTCTTTGAAAGTTGCAAATGCAGAATGGTATAATGACAACGGAATGTCAGGGCTTTCTGTGCGATAATTAAGGATCATGCCACTGAGTTCTGGGTCGTTTTGTTTAGACTTGCTATAACTGGATGGTGTAATTTTCTTTAGTCTCTTCACCATTTCATCAACATTACGATATGTGGATGCATAATGCTTTCGTTTCAAGGTCACATCCATTGAGTCTGGTATTGGAGTAGCTATTAACAAGAGAGGCAGATGGATTAGGAGGAATCACAAACAATTCTTTAGCAAAATTTCCATTTAAAAAGGTATTGGAATAACAATAGGCTAGGAGCACCTGATCTGATAAATTCATAATATGACAACCATGCCATAATAACTGCTTCAAGCTATCAGATCCCCACGTTCCTGCCAAAATAATCTTTATTCCCAATCACTGACAAAACACCAAGGAGCAATGCAAGGGGTTAGCTAAATTAAAGCAAATAGTTAAAGAAGAAAAACATGGTCAAATAATTAATCCTCTAACTAACCACCCTGCTAACCTGAATACCCAACACCCAAGCACAAGCTCATAATATACTCTATGTACACACTACTCTTATGTCCCCAATGCCCAAGTCACAAAGTTGTTACCTGGTTGAGCTGTTGTGAAGGCTCTTTGCAGCTCTTGCTTCGCCTGCAGCAGCATTTCCTCCTTCTTTGCCAGCGCTGTCATCGTCTGTATCTCCAGGTCGGTGAGCCCCATCTGCATCTTTCTCCTCAACCAGTTCAGCAGCTTCCCACCAGCCTCGTCATTCTCAAACTTTGTCAATTCATCCTTCACCTCCTTCAGTTCTTGCTCAATTCTTTCGATTGTTGCCATTTTTTCTGTTTGTCATGAAAAGATGTGCTGCGCGATGTAACTTCTATCGCGAGGGACTTTTATTCACAAGATGTAACTTCCCCAAGAGCAGTGGTACTTTTTTGCACTCATGCCAGTGTGATGCTACGTTATAAACAGTGACGTATTCTCTCCTAAATCTGCATTTCTCTGACGGCGCAGTAACACCAAGTCATACGGGAATTTATATCGCGGTAGTACAGCACCACTGCTGCACCACTGAAGCCTGCTGCAGCAGTGCTGCAAAAGTCATAATTAAAATAGTTGCTAAGAATAAATCAATTAGTCCACTCGAAAGATATATAATTAGCGTAGATTTCAGTTAGATAGGAAAAACAGTAAATAATTGCATGTTTAGCATGTCTAATTACTCTCGATTCCTTTATTGTAAATAAATGAGTAGTTCTTTATACTCTGA